GACCTCGGGGAGCATGACCAGCGCTTAGCCAAGATATTTCAGTCAAGCAAGCCTACTTGATGCCTTCTACCCAACCTTACTCATGAATAGTTTTAGAATCAATGACAAGAGATAGACGTAAGAGGCTAAAATCTAAAGTACCAAGTTCCATTACCTATGGAGGATTTCATTAATATTTACCAAAAGATTACTAGTTTATGTTATAAAGTGGAACATCCGACAACTACAACATTTATAGGCTACTTCCCAAATCAAAACACAACCCGCACTATGTGTACGAAGCTTTTAAATGGAACAAAAGAGCATTATGAAAGTGATGGTGACAAGGCATCAACTATACCTCAAAACACTATGTACAAGGATCAAAAGACATATGGCCCCGAGATGAAGTGGGGCTCACCAAGTCAGCTGAGAAGAGGGTGCACTACTAGCAATGATCGATGCCGCCTGTTGTGGAACCACCTGTATCCATTAAAGATGCAGTGTCCCCGGCAAAAGGGACGTTAGTACACATTGAATAGTACTAGTATGTAAAACTAAACACTCTCTCATGGAATAGAGTATAAAAACAACAAACCCAGTAGTTATCTGCTAGTGGGGTCTGGGGAATGTAATATGTATGCAACCTTACCCCTACCCCTGGAAGGGCAGAGAGGCTATTTCCGATAGACCCTCGGCTAGAGAACGACCGAAAAGAAAAGGTGATTGAAACAAGTAGGAATAACAGCAAGATGAAATAAGATTGAATCAAATAATGTAGTCAAATTCTATTTAGTAATAGCCATCTATGGATAAAAGATAACATACCAACACTAATGCTAGCGATCTGAGTAAGACAAAGAGAAACACTCGACTACCTACGAACCTTCTACCCTAATCTTTGACCTCCATACCATCATGTCTAGGGCATATCCTCAGTCAGCTCCAGCTACGCCATGTCCCGCCTAATAACCTCTCCCCAAGACTTCTTAGGCCTACCTCTACCCCTCCTGCTACTCACCGAGGCTAAACGCTCGCACCTTCTTACTGGGGCTTCTATACTTCTCCTTTTAACATGCCCGAACCATCTCAACCTCGCCTCACACATCTTATTCTCCACAAGGTTAACCACTCCCACCTTTTCCCTAATAACCTCATTCCTAATCTTATCCAACCGGGTATTCTCACACATCCACCTCAACATCCTCATCTCAGCTACTTTTAGCTTCTGGATATGAGAGTTCTTGACCGGCCAACACTTTGCTCCATACAACATAGTCGGTCTAACTACAACCTTGTAGAACTTACCTTTAAGTCTCAGTGGCACATTCTTATCACATAAGACACTGGAAGCGAGCCTTCACTTCATCCATCCTGCTCCGATATGATGCGTGACATCTTTATCAATCTCCCCATTACCTTATATTATAGATCCAAGATACTTGAAACTACCTATCTTGGGAATGACTTGCGTATCAAGCCTCACCTCCATATCCCCTTCCTGGATACCGTTGCTGAACTTGCACTCCAAGTATTCTATCTTGGTCCTGCTCAACTTGAAACCCTTAGACTCTAGGGCCTGCCTCCAAATATCCAGCCTCTCGTTAACACCACTCCGCGTCTCATCAATTAAAACTATGTCATCAGCACCTCACCTTAAATGTGTCTCGTCAATGTGTCCATCGCCAAGGAAAATAGGAATGGACTAAGAGTTGATCCCTGGTGCAACCCCATCATAAATTGAAAGTGTTTCGAGTCTCCTCTCGCTTCCCTAACTCGAGTCTTATCTTAATCATATATGTCCTTAACCACCCTAATGTAGGCTACCGGGACCCCTTTAGCCTCCAAGCATCGCTAGAGCACCTCTCTTGGGACTTTGTCATATGCTTTCTCTAGGTCAATGAACACCATGTGCAAGTCCTTCTTCATCTCCCTATACCGTTCCACCAATCTCTTCATAATGTGAATGGCTTCCATAGTCGAACGCCCCGGCATGAAACCAATTTGGTTCTCAGAAATGGACACACTAGTCCTCACCCTCACTTCAACCACCCTCTCCCAAACTTTCATAGTATGGCTTAGCAGCTTAATCCCCCTAAAATTATTACAACTTTGGATATCACCCTTGTTTTTATACAGAAGAATCATTGTACTCCACCTCCAATCATCGGACATCTTCTTCGTCCTAAAAATGACATTGAACAACCTAGTGAGCCACTCCAAACCTGTCCTACCCGCATTCTTCCAAAATTCCACAGGTATTTTATCTGGCCCGGTAGCTCTACCCATGTGCATCTTATGTATAGCCCCATCGACCTCCTCTATTCATATGTGCCTACAATACCCGAAATCCCGGTGCATCTCGGAGTGCTCCAAGTCGCCCAGCACAATGTACCTATCACCCTCTTCATTCAAGAGTGCATGGAAATATGTCTGTCATCTTCTTCTAATCTGAGCCTCTTCCATCGAAACTCTACCTTCCTCGTCTTTGATACACTTAACTTGATCCAGATCACGGGCCTTCCTCTCTCTCACCTTGGCTAACCTGTATAGCTTCTTATCCCCGCCTTTGGCCCCATGCTCTTCATACAAATGCCCAGTCTCAGCCATAGTAACCGCTAACTTCGCCTCCTTCTTATCCCTTCTATACCCTTCCATGTTCATCCTCTTCGCCTCCTCATCCATGCTCTCTATAAGCGTCAAGTACGCCGCTTGCTTGGCTTTCAGTTTCTCTTGTACCTCCTCACTCCACCACACACAAAAGGAGAGAAACATAAAATCAATGAGAAACTCAAATAATATTTAAAACGCCAAGTTAAAAATGAAGTAAATCTTCAAGTAAATATCAATATTTTAAGTTGGGAGATCTTTAGTACCGATATACTACCATGCATATGGCATGGAGTCCAATCTCCGCCCGATCGGCTAAGTTGTCTCACCCCAAAGTACGAGGATTGACATAGAAACACAATAACACTATGTACACGACATGACATCCGATCTCTACCCGATCGGTTAAGCCGTCTCGCCATAATGTTGTGTGGGTCGACATGGTCTTTAATAGCTGTCAAATCATCCCAATTAAGGGGAAACAATCTCAATATAATATAACGGGAAATTATCCCTAAATCAATCCCTACACCGGCACGTGTAGTTTAAGGCGTAGGGCATCTATAACCTAGCCTTCCTCGGTTACCTAATGATAGTCCCAAAGATATTTATATATAAAAGAATCACATTTGTATCATTGCCCTTTGATACTTGCTTTCATTTCACTGGCACTCTTGGCCACAAATGTAAATCATCATTCTTGGCATGATGGCCACATATTATAATTCACACTTGCATTCTTTCATTTGACATGAACTATAATGTCATGACCCAAACCGATGGGCTGCGACGGGCACCCGATACCTTACTCAATCGAGTACCAACGTAATATATCTTTCTTATTACATCATCACATACACGTGACATATGGGCCTAATAGGCCAACATCATCATTTATAAACTCAAAACATAGGCCGACAAGGCCATACAATCTTTCACGTACACGACATATGTCTACAAGCCTCTAAGAGTACATAAATATCATAAAGGTCAGGAGAGGGCTCCGCCATACTAATCAGTACATGTCCTAATCATACTGACCACATAAGCAACTCCGGAACAAATGGAGTGCACCAACATCTTCCGCTGAGCTGATTGCCTACTTGGAGGACTCTCAACCTGTCTATCGAGACCTACGGGCATGAAACGCAGTGTCCCCAGGCAAAAGGGACGTCAGTACAAATAATGTACCAATTATGTAAGGAATGAAAATAAGTAAATAATATACATGAGAGAAACATGGAGTAAAAGACTCGACATGTACGTTTGCATAGCTCTGTGAATCATTTCATTTTTATAATGTCATGCATATGCATATAAATGTCATACCATGCATTGGTATATGCGTTCATAACATCATCAAGCTTCTGAGGGCATCCCATTATATTATTTCGGCAAACTGTGAGCAAATCATCAACATATACCAGCCGATCAGGTGGTGGTGCGTATATAACGCCATAACCTTTTCCCATATCCCATATACTTATAATATACATATATACGTGTATATAATGCCATCTGGTCATGGGCCAATGTGTATGTATAAATGCATGAAATGCATAAGAAACACGTTAATTATATTTTCACGGAATGTCATAAAAATAATATGCCTTAAAAAATACGTTAATAAGATTTTCTCAGAATGTCATAAAAATAATATGCCTGTCAGATAAATTTTATCAAATACGTATTTTTTTTAGACCCATGAACAGATGATAAAATAATATGACACGTGGGGAATCAATAACATAAGCATCTCCAATATTTCTATGAATAGAGTCATGTATGGAAATTGTGCATTTTCTCATTTCGTTTGTGTCATATGGATCATGCCAAAAGAAATAAGGGATAGCCTTAACATACCTGAACCGATTCTCTTAGAATTTGGAATTCGCGCTTTAAAGAATCAACAACCAACGTTATCTAATTTTGGTATGGAATTGTTTTGCTCTTTGAAGAACTCACGACCAACCACTTTCTATAAGAGATTCCATTGATTTGTAACGTACACATGAATGGCATCTCACGTTTAGAAAGAACTCACGTTCGTAATAAGAGATTGATTTGTACACATAATTGATTTGAAATAAGAGATTCCATTGATTTGTAATGTACACATAAATGGCATCTCACGTTTAGAAAGAACTCACGTTCGTAATAAGAGATTGATCTGTAAGAACTCACGTTAAGCCTTTAGAAACTCACAATAAGATAGCATCTTTTGTCTTACTAATTGTAAAAAGTCTTTAGTGGGTGTGGCCCACTTAGTTGATGTGTAAACCACTTAATCCTCTAAATTTGCCACCTATGTAAGACTTAATAGTCACTTTAAGAGTGATAGGGGATGCTGCCACGTTTTTGTGGAGTTAAGCCATCAAAATCATTAATTATCCAAAGATTTTAATTAATCTCCCACTAAAAATTATTAATTACCCAATTATCCACATAATTAAGAATTAGCTCAACTTACTTAAAATACTACTCACTTTTAACTTACCTTGTACACCTTACTGTCATGGTCATGTAGTACCTTGTATGGCACTAGTCCATAAATACCGGGTATTATAGCTCGGATCGTATTTTATCCCAAATTGTCAATTTTTGACGAAATTCATTTTCTTCGATTCGCTTATCCTTTCACCGTCATGAATTTACTTATCACTTACTTGAAATAGCATAATACTTATAACCTCAAAAATAATCTCATCCTCGAGCTTATGTCGATTAACTTACGACGAAACTTTAACGTCCGAAAATTTGGGATGTAACATCTCATTTTCGAGCTTATATCAATTTACTTATAGCGTACTTCCACGTACTAAAACATGGGGTGTAACATCATTCCCCCCTTTGGAACATTCGTCCTCGAATGTTAACTGATGCACTTATCATTCTCATAACCCATAGCTCTTACGAATACTTTAATACTCTTCTTGCCATTTAGGCAACTGTTCTGTGAATGAATCCCAAAGGCCAGTGCATTCCCCCCTTTAAGCCTCTTTCTTACACCACGACTTGTAGTCGGAATCCTTCTAATCTCGTAATTGTTGCTACGTTCTATCATGCAGCCTTTATGACTCTAACTTTGTTTGTGCGCCTATGCGACTCTTCTCTTTTCTTTCCTCCAGCTTTTAGCCAATCTCTAGGCTTCACTTTGTGAACATATACAAAATTATGTCAAGTTATCCCTCTGGGCATCATTAGCTTTACTACATCTAAGTAGGCCATACTATAACATAATTCTTACTTCGATTTATCGTTGAGGAAGTCTGCTATCAAATTCCAGCTTACTCTTGTTGCTTATCCCATATGTATAAATCTAAGTCCTTTAATGCTTCCTCATTAGTGTTCATCTTAAGAATGACGACCTAATCTCAGCTCATACTTTGTGACTTTTGTCCATCCATTATGATTTGCCTCAATATTGATCTACAATATACCACTGATAACTTGAAACTTCTTATGTAAAACATTGCCACTAGGGCTTACGTTGCATCGAGGAATATTTGAAGTTATTTCCATAATCATATTTCATAGTATCTCGATGTGATTCACCTTATGGGGGTATTCTGATCTCGTGCCGTCCGCGAAATCTTTTCTCATTCTGCTTTTTTTTTCTTCAAATCATTATTCAATCGAAGGCCCAAACGTTATCTTTTATCTGTCACAATTACACCTTCATTTCACTACTAGGGCAGCATTCCATCTCTTCTAAATGCAACTAATCTTAGACTCCTTTGAGTTCATTCAGGCTGAACTTTCTATTACTTAGAGAAACCATCAGCTCTTTTGTCTTTATGGGCTTAATCTCGATAACTTATCCATTCCCGTAACCTTCTCACTTGCCATTCCTTATTCTTACTCATGTCTTTCCAAAACCTTGTCGCTCTACCATACTTTAGTTTGTGACCTACACATATTCATTTATACTACTCGCAACCTTTCTTCAACTTGTTTGTACCATAGATTCCCTTGCGTTATTATGGAACATCAAGCGATACATCACATTGTTTCTAACTCTTCTTTACTCTCGTAACTGGGCCTCTCGATACCTAGAAATAGAACTTTTATCACTAACGACGCCGCTATCATTCCTGGATACTGAATACCCACGCTTCTAGCTTTCTATATGCAGTATGGACTATTCCTAACCTTCTGCATTTAAGTATCTCGTACGTTGTTCACTTTTACCTTACTTACCTTAAAATATCGCATCACGTCTTCTATCTCTTTCATGACCTCCCTTTCACATAGGTATACTTGCACCTTTGGTGCACACACAATCTGGTGGGAGCTTCATACTGACTTCTTATAAGGCTGGTACTTTTCTGACTAGCTTTATCGTAGAGCCCTTATAGAATATGGTTAATGTACTATCTCTCTTGTATTTAAGAGTGATCCTGCAATGTTCTCAATTACGAGGGCTAAAATTTTCTTGGTTCAATAATCAGACTCCTGGTTTACTGAGTTGATGTAACTCTTTAGTTTCCTCTTCCTTCTGATCAGCCTTCATGTAGGCTTAAACTATCTTCCGATATGCGGCTCCTGGGATTATTTATTACTTTATCCTTTCATGGGCACTATGGACTATCCATGACACAATCTTCTAACAATTCCATCCTTTGTCTATGCCCTGGGCTCAATTCTTTCTTTTACTTATACCGGAGTCTTCTACCGCTGTATGATTGTCACGTATGTGCTGCATGGATAATACTCTAAAATCTTACGTCCATTCATAACGTAACCCACTCTGGATCTCTAATCGAATAATTCATTTCGTTCCTTCTCCACTTTCTTTAAATGTAAGCAATTACTTTTCCTGGTTGTTTTGCCACTTGTTGCATGTATACTTGGCTTATCTTAGTTCCCACGCATGCCAAAATTTTTGTGCAACTCATATGATCTCGAATATTACTTTTGATTTTTTTCTGCCCGTTCCTTAGACACGGTAGGTACCACTTCCTTTTGGAGAGCATACAATGTTGTTGTGAGACTTTTCTTACAAGACCATTTCCTCCTTAGGTTACTAAGCTTAGGTTGAAGCCTTCTTCCTTACTTCCTCAACTAGTCTTTCA